CCACAATTAGTAGCTTAAAACAACATGAATTTATTATTTTCAGTTCTGTAGATCAGAAGTCCAACATAAGTCTCACTGGGTTAAAATCACTGCGTCATTAGGGCTGTGTCCATTTCACAAGCAAAATACATTCATTCACCCCCTTCTAAGATCCTCCCAAAGTCTCAACACACTGCAGCATCAATTCGAAGTCCAAAGTCTCATCTAAATCTCATGGATTCAAAAATCTCAATCTTATTATCAAAATCTAAATTTGGTATGGGTGAGACTCTTGGTATAATCCATCCTGAGGCAAAATTCCTCTCCATCTTTGGACCTATGGAATTAGAAAAGAAATCCCCTGCTCCCAACATACAAGGACGGGACTGCCGTAGAATATAGTTACAGATATTCCCATTCAAAATGAAAGAAAGTGAAAGGGAAGACGTCATTGGTCCCAAGCAATTTTGAAATCCAGTTAGGCAACCTGGAATATGTCTCCACATGGGCAGAATTCTGTAAAGTTCTCAGTTCCATCCTACAGGACTGCCCCTTTGCCCTCAGAGTCATCCTTCCTTTTTCAAAAAGAGTAACCAGCATGTATTTAAAGCTGAGTAGTTCCACTGGCTTGTTTCCTGCCTGTAGAATTTTGGGGCTCTGATAGCCTTCTTTCACTTCATCCTCTCATTTCTTTTCTAATTCCATACATCCACAAATGAAGAGGAATTCTGCCTCCTCTTTGAGTCTTTCACTTCATCCTCTCATTTCTTTTCTAATTCCATACATCCACAAATGAAGAGGAATTCTGCCTCCTCTTTGAGTCTTTCACTTCATCCTCTCTCTCTCTCCCTTTGAGTTGCTGCTGACGTAGAATTCTCAAAAACCTTGTGGGTCTACTGTATAAGTACAGAGACTCACTCCATTAGACAAGAGGCTCCTCCACAGATCTTGCCTAGATCATCCCATCTCTATTTCTGGCTTCTACTTAGATGCTAAGGGAATCTACAAGTCACACCTCTTGATCTCTTCAGCCTTTCATGTGAGTGAACGCTCTGACCTTTTGATCTTTCTGAGGTTTCAGCAAAAGGTTGTGCAGTGACTCCTTTGGCTTTTTCTCTAGAGCACATTTTCCTGACACTGACTTTAGCACCCTTTGCCACTTGGGTAGACTAAGAATTTCCAAAATCATCAAGTCCTGGTTCCTTTTTGTTTAACAGGTCTCCTCTTGATTTATGTCTCTACTTTCAAATTTTGCTATTAGTGGCAAAAAGAAACTAGGCCATACCTTCAACACTTTGCTTGGAAATCTCTTCAGTTAAACATCCAAGTTCACTGTTTGTAAGTCCTCCTTTCCACCTAATTGCAGTACACAAGCCTACCGAGCTTTCTGCCACTATAATAGGGATCCCTTTTCCTTCAATTCCCAACATTTTCCTCTGAGCCAGTACCTTTAATGCATTTTCACCATCTGTTCACAATGATTTAGATATTCTCTAAGATGATAAATGTTTTCTCTATCCTGCTCCTCACTTTTTTCTAAGTCTAATAGAGTGATTAACATCCATATTTTTATTGTCATGGCAATCTAGGCTTTTTCTATCATGCACCTCAAAATTCTTCCAGATGTGCTCACTGCATAGTTCCAAAACTACTTCCACATTTTCAGGTATTTGTTACAGCAGCACCCCACTTCCAGTACCAAAATCTGCATTAGTCGTCTATTGCTGCTGTAACAAAGTACCACAAACTTAGAGGAAAATACAACATTCATTTCTTTATCTTACAGTTATGTAAGTTAGAAGTCCAAAACTGGTCTCACTGGGCTAAAATCAAGATATCAGTAGGGCTACAGTCCTTTCCGGAGGCTAGAAGGGTGAATCCTTGCTTTTTCCAGTTTCTAGAGGTTACCACATTCCTTGACTCATGGCCCTCTTCCCCCATCTCCAAATACAGCAACACTGCATCTCTGACCTTGTTTCCATCATCACATCTCTTACTGACACCTCTTCTGCATCCCACTTTCATTTTCAAGAAGTGTAGTCCTTACAGTGACCACCTGAATGATCCAGAATAATTTCCCTATCTGCTGTTTAGCAATCATAATTCTCTTTTGCCATGTAATGTACATATTCACAGGTCCTAGGAATTGGGACATGGACATCTTTGGGTCACTATTATCCTGCCTACCACATCTACTGATCACTTAAAATGAACTATTAATAGAAATACACCATAATTCAAGGTAGCCTAGCAAAACTCAGAGCGAAGTATTGACAGCTAAAAGAAACAAACAAAAAACTCTCAATGACTAATTTATTTAAAATTTTTCAAAATATTAGTGAATCTAACAATCTAACTGAAGGTTTTCTGTTTTTTTTTTGTTTGTTTGTTTTACTTGTGGTAGATACCATTAGATAACACCCATTTTCAACCCCTTCTCCCTTTTCTGTCCCTAATACTTGGGCCATAAAATACTAAATACTTTCCTGGCTTCCTAAGGATAGTCATATAACACAGTTGTGCCCAGTGAAATCTAAAAATTGCCTTGGGAAAAGATACTACGTTCCTGATAAAAGAGGCAGATGGCGTGGCCTTCCCTGGCTTCCTTCCCAGTACCCCTCTAGCCTTGAATGTGGTATACTGCCAGTAATTCGGGCATCTATTTTGCAATAATGGAGAATGTCCAAAGAATTCAAGAGACACTACCCCTGACATTGCTGAATGACTGAGCCAACACCAGCTACTCTATGCCTCTAGACTTACGGTTATATGAGAAAAAACAAACTCCCATCCTGTTTATGTCACTGTTTACAACTGCTTTTCTGTTATTTTCAGCTGAAAGTTTTCCTAATTGAAACTACATTCCACACCACTACAGGTTAAACACAAGCACCCTCCTCTAAACATTTATTTCTGTTATATAAAACCAGATTCACTTCAATGAGTTATAGTAATTAAGAAGGCAACTACTTTAAAAATAATGTTTATTATACACTTAGAACTATAAACTATATATACTTATTCTAGAACATTTGCAAATTATAAAAAGTTTAAAGAAAACAAATATCAGCCACAATCCCAACCATCCAAAGTCTGTGTAACTTCTATCCACACTTTATATATATATATATATGTACACACACACACACAAAATGTTCTTTTTTTTTTTTCTGAGACTGAGTCTCACTCTATCACCCAGGCTGAAGTGCAGTGGCACGATCTCGGCTTATCACAACCTCCACCTCTCAGGCTGCAGCGATTTTCCCGCCTCAGCCTCCCAAGTAGCTAGAATTACAGGAGCATGCCACCAACGCCTGGCTAATTTTTTTGTTTTTTTTTTTTTTTTTTTTTTGAGGCGGAGTCTCGCTCTGTCGCCCAGGCTGGAGTGCAGTGGCGCAATCTCGGCTCACTGCAAGCTCCGCCTCCCGGGTTCCCGCCATTCTCCTGCCTCAGCCTCCCAAGTAGCTGGGACTACAGGCGCCGCCACCACGCCCGGCTAATTTTTTTGTATTTTTAGTAGAGACGGGGTTTCATTGTGTTAGCCAGGATGGTCTCGATCTCCTGACCTCGTGATCCGCCGTCTCGGCCTCCCAAAGTGCTGGGATTACAGGCTTGAGTCACCGCGCCCGGCCATTTTTTTGTATTTTTAGTAGAGATAGGGTTTCACCATGTTGGCCAGGTTGGTCTGGAACTCCTGACCTCAGATGATCCACTTGCGTCAGCTTCCCAAAGTGCTGGGATTACAGGCGTGAGCCACCACATCCGGCACACAAAATGTTCTTTAAAGTGAGACTATATGGAATATGTAGATTGACTCCAATCTCCATTTAGCAGTTTATGAAAACTTATTAATATCAGATGTTTCAAAAATATCTCCAAAATTTAAAATATTTTATAACATGACAATATGGTTAATTAAATAATTTTATCAACGGTAGACACATAAGTTGTTTTGTTCTTTTTGCTACTGTAAATGGTGTTGCAACAAACATCAATATATGTAAGTTTTTCTGTGTTATGTCTGATTATTTTCCAAGGATAGTTCCACAGATATGGCCTTACTAGGTCAAAGGGATAAAACCTTTCAATTATTCAACAAATGTTGCTAAACTGCTTTCTAGAAAAATTGAATCAATTTATTACTCCGTCTCCTTTGTACAAGAGTATGTCTCCCTTACAAGTACTGAATACTGCCTTTTTGCTTTTTTGCCAGTTTGATGAATAAAAACTATTATACCTCATTCTTGAATTTTTAATTTATGTTTTTTGGTTACTAGTGAGACTATCTAAAGACATTTAGATCCTTTTTGACGAATTATCATCAAATATTTATTGGTTATTTGATGAATTATCACTTGTTTCTTTTTAAAAGTTCTTTATATATTACAGATGCTAGCCTTTGATGTATCTGTTGTAAATATTTTATTTCAGCGTACATGTTATCACTTACTTTTTAGTTTTATCTATTTTTTTTTTTTTTGAGTCGGAGTCTCACTCTGTTGCCCAGGCTGGAGTGCAATGGCCAGATCTCAGCTCACTGCAAGCTCCGCCTCCCAGGTTTACGCCATTCTCCTGCCTCAGCCTCCCGAGTAGCTGGGACTACAGGCGCCCGCCACCTCGCCTGGCTAGTTTTTTGTATTTTTTAGTAGAGACGGGGTTTCACCGTGTTAGCCAGGATGGTCTCGATCTCCTGACCTCACGATCCTCTCGTCTCGGCCTCCCAAAGTACTGGGATTACAGGCTTGAGCCACCGCGCCCAGCCAGTTTTATCTATTTTTATGAACATTTTTATGCACTCAAATCTATCAATATTATCTTTTGTAACTTCTTCCTTTGCTTCATCAGATAAGGATGGCTTTCACATGATGAAAACTTCATTTTAGAAAAGAATGCTTTAAGATATTATATTCTTTTAAATTCCTGTTGGCTTATGGTCAAAAAATAAAATCAACAGAGAGCAAACAGCAAATATTCCACTAAATATATAAGTATCTCATCCTAGATTTTGACCATTCACATACCTGCTTGTGACAATTATCACATCCTCAGAGATGGTAGCCATTTCTTTGATGGTAAGGTAGCACATTCTCCTCAATGTTTGCTGAAAAATTATTTATAAAAGGTAACAGATTATTCATAAGGAAATGGTTTTCTAAATTATTTGAAGTGAGGAACCCAAGTAGATATATATTTAGAAAGATATTCTTAAAAGAGTCTCATCTACCAAAAAAAAAAAAAATTAATACCTGGGTGAGAAAATATTCAGAATACTAGTATTTCCTAAACACAACGGATGCACTGACACAAAAGGTAAAAACTTAAAAATTCAATTACATGGATCTTTCCACAGAGAGATACAAACTTAGACTCTGATAGCTTGAGTCCAAAGACATAGGTTTTTTGTTTTGTCTTGTTTTGCTTTTTTGAGATGGAGTTACGCTCTGTTGCCTAGGTTGGAGTGCAGTGGCGCAATCTCGGCTCACCACAACCTCCGCCTCCTGGGTTCAAGCAATTCTCCTGCCTCAGCCTCCCAGGTAGCTAGGATTACACGTGCTTGCCACCATGCCTGGCTAATTTTTGTATTTTCAGTAGAGACAGTGTACAGTGTTAATTAAAGGCTTATTCCTGGAAAACATATTTTTTAAGTTTTTAAAAAATATGTAGGGATAAATGGGCAAACTCTGCACTTTCCTCAGTTCAGTGTATACCAATGTTTTCTCCTGAATCCTAAATGAGATTTCTAGATGAATACCCGGATCCAAGTAAGTACTAAGCTAACAATGCTCCATCTACTCTCCCCGACACAACTGGATCTCTGATTTATTCACATACTACGGATAAATGGGCAGCGGCCAGACGCTAGGTTCCTCTAGTCTGTCCTTACTGAGTAACCTCAAATTTATTTTAAGCAGAGAAACCCAAATACATCAGACGCAGCTCCAGAGGCCAAGCTATGGAGAAAACCTTGATACTACTGAACCCATTAAGGAAAGAGAAGAGAGCAAGGATCCTCGCGGTGATTAAACACAGAAAAACAAACAAACAAACAAAACACACACACACACACACACACACACACAGAAAGTCAGTATGGGCACACACATGGGGCAGATCAAAGCTACTATGAGAAGAAAACAAAAAATAAGAATCAAAATTTCAAGAACATCCCACCCCAATTTAAAAAAAAAAGAAAAAAAAAGTTCTGTGAGAAGCAGAAGAAAACAAGAGATACAAAAAAAAATTTCATTAAAACACAAAAAAATGGGGGCTGAACATTATTAGTCATCAGGGAAATGAGAATTACTTATCCAATGAAAAATTAAAACCACATTTCAGAAATTACCTCACACCCACCAAAATGGTGAAAATTCAAAAGACAAACAATACAAAATGTTGGCAAAAAATGTGTTCTTAATCACTAAAACATACTGCATAAACAAATACACAGAAATGCTGAATAAAATAGAAACAAAAATTTTAAATGTGTAGCCAAGGACAAAATTAAGATAAATTCACAGATGCTGGAAATGAACACAACCAAACATTCATAGCCACAGAAGGATCTTACTTCTGTGGGATATAGTATCTAACGTCTAGGAAAATAAGATTCTCAAAGTTATATTCTTCAAGCACAAGGAAAATCATCCCAGATAACTCAGAAATAGAGCAAGGAATGAAGAGTTTTTAAAAAGTGCTAAAGACATGAGTAAGTCACAATGAACAAACAAGACTCACAAGAAAATGATAGCATAGAATATATGAATGTAAATGTGCATGTGTGTATGCATATACACACATACATACGTTGATATACTCATATATGTATAAGGAATCAGAGTATCCTAAGACTCTCGAATTTCCCATGAGTAGGGAAAACACAGAGATGAGTATTCGATTTTGATAAGTCAAAAACCCACTGCAATTTTGAGTATAAACAATAAAAAAACTTCCAAAGTATTATCTCACAGGTTGCTGATGCTCTGCTTATTTCTAGTCTGTCTTTTTTTCCTCTCTGCTTTATTCTGGACCACTTCTACTGCTGTCTTCAATAACCCTGGGTTTTGTTTGTGTGTTTGTTTGTTTGTCCTACATCTCTAATTTGCTATTAACCCCATGTAGTGTAGTTTTCATTTTATATATTTCTTTTCTTTTTTTTAATTTTTGGGAAGTGTATTTGTATCTCTTTGTATCTCTCCTATTTTATGCTTTATTTTTGTTATGCCTCTCTATACACTCTTAAGCATATAGACCATGTTAATAGTTGTTCTAATGACATCATCTGCTCATTCCATCACCTTTATCATTTTGGGTTTGTGTATGCTGATCCATTTTTCACCTGTTTATAGATAATATTCCCTGTTTATTTGCATATCTGATAATTTATTAGATGCTGCACATTGTGAAGTTTATTATTTTGTTGCATGATCTTACATAGTATTGAACTCTATTCTGTCGGTGAGGGAAGGTTACCCAGGACTAGCGGGTTTTTTTTTCCCCCCCCACTTTGAGGCTTACTTATGGGCTTTTTAAAGTTTTAGTGTAAGGTTATAATATATTCCCATTACTTAGGTAATAATTACTTATGTATGGTTTCCTTTTGAGAACTATACCAGATGTCTTACGCAATATAAGGTCTTTCCACTCTCACTGGTGGGAATACAAACTATTCGGAGCCCTGTTTTTCAGATTCTTTCTTTAGCTTTCAGTAGTTTCCTTTTTTACATACACAGATCAGTTTTTACTTAACCAAAGACTCAAGGGACAGTCCTCAGCAGATCATGGAATCCCTCCCTCTCCTCCTTCCTTCTCTCCCCCGCCCTCTTTTTCTCTCCTGCGCCTTCTTCTTTGGTATTCTGCTTCACAAACTCGAGCTTTCTTGGCTCCTAACCTACATTCGTTTTCTCAGCTCTGAGAGAGAGCTAGGCCTGTAATCTGTTTCTGGGCCATGATCTAGCACAATCCTAGGACTGACCTAGTTTCCCTTCTTCAGATCACAGTCCTGGGATACCTATTATCCAATGTCTGAAAATGTTACATCATAAATTTTGTTTGATTTTCTAGGTATTTATAGTAGCAGGGTAAATCCAGCCCATTTACTTTACCATGGCTATAAACAAAACAGAAAAAAATGTTCTTACTATCAAAATAAACGGCGATTGATTTAGTTATTCTTTTATTATTAATTTCTAACACTATCCCACTGTAAATAAAGAACACAGTCTACATGATTTCAATCTTTTGAAATTTGTTGTCTTGCTTTATGGCTCAATATACAGTCAACTTTTCATAAATGATCTTTGTGCTCTTCATTTACATTTAATGTGGATAATGATATATTTGGGTCTATATCTACCAGGTGATTATATGATTTGTTTGTCCTGTTTGATCTATGTTTCTCTTCCTCTCTTTTTCCCCTTCTTTTGGTTTGATTTTTTAGCTTTTTTTTTTTCTTTTTGCACAATTAGTTTGGAAGAGAAAAATAATTTTAAAAAATCAATGAAACAGAAAGCTGGTTCTATGACAAGATCAATAAAGTTTATAAGTCCCTAGACAAGCTTCCTAGGAATAAAAGAGAGAAGATACAATTTACCAATATCGGAATGAAGGAAGAGACATCACTAAGGATTCTGCAGACATTAAAAGAATGGAGGAATATTATGAAGAGCTTTATGCAAACAATTTAGCTGAAATTCCTTGAAAGATACAAACTACCAGAGCACACTCAAGAAAACAAATAACCTGAATGGCATCATATATACATTTTTTTAATGAAGTTAATTAACCCCGAAAAGCCTTCCCACTAAGAAGACAGCTTCAATAGTGAACTCTAACAAACATTTAAGGAGATCACAAGAAAAAGGTCAATATATAAAAGTTCATTTAATTTCTAGAGACTACCAATAAACAATACAAATACAAGAGCATCAAAACATACTATCTACTTTAGGGACAAATTTCACAAAATATGTGCAAGACTTGTACACTGAAAACTGTAAAATGCTGCTGGCAGAAGTTAGAGAGACTTGAAAAAAGGGATATACACCATGTTTGTGAAGAAGAAAACTCAATAGTGCTACAATGTCCATTCTCCTAAAATTGCTCTTTAGATTTAATGCAAGCCCCATCAAAGTTCCAGCAGGCTTTTTATATCTATATAAAAAGATTATATTAGGCCGGGCACAGTGGCTCACGCCTGTAATCCTAGCACTTTGGGAGGCTGATGTCGGCGGATTACGAGGTCAGGAGATCAAGACCATCCTGGCTAACACGGTGAAACTCTGTCTCTACTAAAAATACAAAAAATTAGCTGGGCGTGTTGGCGGGTGCCTGTAGTCCCAGCTACTCAAGAGGCTGAGGCTGGAGAATGGCATGAACCCGGGAGGCGAAGCTTGCAGTGAGCCGAGATAGTGCCACTGCAGTCCAGCCTGGGGACAGAGCGAGACTCTGTCTCAAAAAAAAAAAAAAAAGATTATATTATATATAATATAATTTGTCTATTTCCATATATCTACATATTTCTATATTATCTATACATAACATAGATATTATATTTAAAATCCATATGGAAATGCAAAGGGCCCAAAAGAGCCAAAACAATTTTGAAAAATAGAAAGATATGCACTATAAAACTTACTATAGTAGATTTTAAACCTATAGTTAATCAAGACAGCATAGAGCTAAAGTAAGAATAGACATATAGGTCAATGAAACAAAATCACCTTCATCATCTCCTCCCCCTCCTCCCCTTTCTCCTTCCATATGAATATGCAATTGTTCCAGAACCATGTGTTGAGAAAATGAAGAAAGAAGAAAAGGAAGAGGGAGTGGATGGAGGAAGAGGAAAGAGGTGAAAATAAATCAACCTTTACTTTATACTATATACAAAAATTAATATGAAATGGATCATAAGATAATTGATATAAAACCACAAACATCCAGAAAAAAAGCACAGGAGAAAATCGTTGTCACCTTCGGTTAAGCAAAGATTTCTATGATATGACATAAAAAGCACAATCCGTAACAGAAAAAAATTTGATAAAGTGGACTTCATCAAAATTTAAAACTTCTGCCCTTTGAAAGACTTTAATAAAAACATAAGCC